CTACCCAATCTAGTCCTTGGAGAGTCAAGGTGCTGATGCTCCTGTTGAGAAAGGACAAAGGAGGCAGGCCAGGGAGGAAAGTACCAGGACAAGATGTTACAACAGCTCACACACCAGGCAAATAGAAACTGATGGGAGGGAGGGAGAGGTTCTGCAATCAGCATTCACAGCTGCTTGTACATAAGGGATATTAATATGTTCTCTATTCTTAGGTTGAATTCTGTGGATTCTTAAAGCAATAACATGACATGAACAATCTGCAGAGACTAGAAGGAAATTAAATGACCCTCAATTTTAGACATAAAACCATAGATAGAGTGGAAGTGACTCAGAAATTAACTATCCCTCTGCCTTCCTTTTACTGGTAAATAATATTATACCAGAGAAGTCTAGTTATTGGTCTAAGGACATGCAGTCAGAAATATGCAGTGTAAAGGACTTTAACTCAGAGATCTTGACTCCCTAGTACAGAATTATTTTTATTTTACCAACTGTCTCCCTGGTCCTGTCATGCAGTTCAAGTCATTAATGTTGGTCAAATCACAGCATTCTGGAACTGTAACTTGTTTTATGCATTTTGTTTTATGCATTTTGAGTCTTGCTATGTTGCCCAGGCTGGTCTCAAACTGGGCTCAAGTAATCCTCCCACCTCAGCCTCCCAAAGTGCTGGGATTATAGATGTGAGCCACTATGACTGGCCATTTTATGATTTTTAAAAATGAAAACAATAACTAGTATCAAACTATTGTTTTAAAATTACTATAAATGACTATCCAAAAGGAACATATACACCTCTTACACCTAGACCAAAACCAATTTTTAAAAATAAGGTGAGAGTACTTCATGAAAATTCAGCATTTTATGTAATGCTTTAAAATATTTAATTTTTTTCACAAATAATATTTGTGAAAGAATTAAAGTCATAACTGATAATCAAAAGAAAATATGTCAAACTGTAACTTCAGGTTGAAGGGTACAGGAAACAGCCAGAGGGGCGGCTCCCAAAATGGCGCCGGACATGGAAAAGCCACACTAGACAACAAAGGCCCTAGGTTCTGGCTTCTTCATGCACGATTCCCCTCGCGCGCGAAGTTCAAACCTGCAAGCCTCCGATCATTTCCCATGACGTAGCTAGCTTTGTTATACTCACCCTGCTCCCATGCCACTCCTCCAATAAGAACCTAGCACAGCCCCTTCTGGTCCCTGTCAGGCTAATAAATACAGCCCTCTTCCTGCAACTCTCTCTCTCTCTCGCCCTCTCTCCTCTCTCTCTCTCTCTCTCTCTCTCTCCGTCTCTCTCTCTCTCCCCCCAACCCCGCAGCCACAGACCCTTTCCCTTTTTCCCTGTAGCTGCCGCTTTAATAAATCTCTTGGTCTTTAATGGGTGTGGAGTTGTCACTGGTGCTTAAGTTCTTTCACTGGTGCTGTGACTCGGATTGGGTGCTCTCCTGCCCTTGTGCGGGTCTATCCCCATAGGTGGATCCCTGACCTGGTGCCAGTGGCCACTCCAGCCCTCCTGGACCTTCCCCACTGTTTTGAATGCGTGAGCTGCATCCACCAGCGATCGTTGGATAGTTGAGTTCCCCAGACATGGCAGCTTAAAACTTGCCTGGGACCACCGGGGGAAACTGACCGTTGATCGTCCGGCAGTCCCTCTGGCTCCTGGGTGAGGGGGAACGCACCCCACCTTGGCCTTCACGGCCACAGTGGACCCTGAAGGCTTCCTCTCTCCTTTATCTCTTTCAAACCCTGAAAACTCCCACGGCTGCCAGGCTGCAGCTAAAGGCTTTCTCTTCTTTATCTCTCTCAAACCCTAAAAACTCCCATGCCTGCTAACCCACAGTGGTTATTCTCTTTTCCTCTCTCTCTTTCCCCCCCTTAAGGACTCCCATGGCTGTCAGGCTGCAGCGGACCCCAGGGGTCCCACATCTGCTAGCCCACAGCGGATTCCGGAGGGCTCCCCACGTCTGTTGGGCAATAGCGAACCTCAGAGGTCCCCACGTCTACTGCCTCACAGTAAACCCTGTTTGACTGGCAGGAATCTCGAACATCCCCTCACCCGCCGCTTGGTCAAGTGCTCTCTGTCTGTTTCGAAAATTCCTAGCGCTAGGTGCCTTGACCCCTCGGTTCTCCAGGAGAACCCTGGTTGTGCCAAACCTCTGTGATGACAGACTTTGCCACAGCCACACTTCTTGGACAGCTGACTCTTCAGGGGACACCCCGTTTAGTCCACCTGTCCCACCATGGGAGGCTCGTCATCCCTGCTGGCCAATTCCCCCTTAAATGCCTCTTAAACAATCCCACTATATTCTCACTCACACCCGATATCAAACCCAAATGCCTACTTCGTCTCTGCACACAGGACTGGCCAACATATCCTGTAGACAACCAAAGCCAGTGGCCCCATCAGGGGTCCCTAAATCCCGATATCATTCGGGACCTATATAATTTCTGTGAGCGTTCAAAACGGTGGGTAGAGATTCCCACGTTCAGTTCTTTTCTCTCCTCCATAAACACTCCCTCTACAGCTTCTCTCCCTCCCACTGTCCCACATGTATCTGTGTTTCCTCCTCCAAACCCCCCTTCCCCCACTGCAAACATTACACCCCAGCAGGAATCATCAAAATTTACCGCACCTATGTCCAAATTCAGCCAAATATCCGAAACCTAGCCCCTAAAATAACAAAACACAAGAGGTCTCAAATCGAAACCTCAACCTCCTATTACTCAATAGTTATCAACCTGTCCCAGTAGAGGAGTCAACACCTCGTCCCTAAACATCACTTAACTCTTCTTTTAGATAAGTTCTCTTCCAGGTTCTCTATTTACCTCCACAGTCTACTCCAAGACAGCTGGTTACTACCGCCCTCGTGTCCACTGGAGGACTGGCCGGAACAAATCGCCATTCTACATTTACAAGGAACTTTCCTGAAACTCTCACCTTCAGAAATCTTCACCTTCAGTGCCTATCTCTGGACCCTCTTCTGGCTGGTTCTGTACCCTTCAACCACCATTCCCCACAATGCCCCCGGCCAGCAGGAAGCAGCCAGAAAGAATAACGATGCCCCTCCCCCAAAGAAACAGAAAAGATGGGAATGAAGGGTACAGGAAACAGCCAGAAGGGCAGCTCCCAAAATGGCGCTGAACACGGTAAAGCCACACTAGACAACAAAGGCCCTAGGTTCCGGTTTCTTCATGCATGATTCCCCTTGCGTGCGAAGTTCAAACCTGCAAGCCTCCAGTCATTTCCCATGACATAGCTAGCTTTGTTATACCCACCCTGCTCCCATGCCACTCCTCGAATAAGAACCTAGCACAGCCCCTTCTGGCCCCTGTCAGGCTAATAAATACAGACCTCTCCCTGCAACTCTCTCTCTCTCTTGCCCTCTCTCCCTCTCTCTCTCTCTCTCTCTCTCTCTCTCTCTCTCTCTCTCTCTCTCTCTCGCCCTCTCTCCCCCTCTCTGTCTCTCTCTCTCTCCCCCCGTCTCTCTCTCTCTCTCTCTCTCTCTCCCCCCAACCCTGCGGCCACAGACCCTTTCCCTTTACCCCTGTAGCCTCTGCTTTAATAAATCTCTTGGTCTTTAATAGGTGTGGAGTTGTCACTGGCGCCTAAGTTCTTTCACAGGCTATCATTAGAAATGTATGCCAAAAAAAGCAGTAAAAAGGCATTCTAATCTGAGACATAAGACATACAACTTTGTACCAAAAAGCTCACAAAAATTCCTATATTATATGAGAAAATGTGTCTCTAAATGAGACAAACTATTCATTGAATCATCAAACTACTATGAGAAATCAAACTATCAATCAATTATTTTAAAACTATGGCAGGAAAATGGCTTAGGAAATCATATGGCTTAAAAGTTTTAGAGTTTTCCAATTTGTGTTATTTTTAGAAAATATCTGATTTTGATTTGCCTGTCATTTTTTTGGATTGTGCTGAATCACAAATGAGCATGTGAATTGTAAACTCTGGGAATATCTAAAGGGTGCCGTCAACACCAATGAGAAGAAAGATAGAGAGATAGAGAAAGAGAGACTCTCTTAACAGTCACCAGAATTGAGCTGCAGTAAACTGTGAAGGCAGCTGTGCTTAGAGGATGTGAGAATCACGCTGCTTTACTTGATTTTGCAAGTTGCCTCTTTCCAAAATGGATATGAAACAGCTACTGATAAAGAACAGATCTAAGAAAGTCAGTAAGATAGTATTTTTAAAAATCAGGACTGGGATAAAAAGAAAGCAAATACCCACTTGGCTTAATTCTATGGTCTGCCCATAGAATTCTATGGTCTGCCCATAGAACTCTCTGAGTCTCTGCTTTAGATGAGAGACTTCTATATCCTAGGAGAGTCACCTTGAACTGGACTCAAAGACTTCACAAATTATTTAGCAGTGGTTGTGCTTCAGGTTCAGAAACAGATGTTATAGTCTTCTTTAACCTAAGCTACATGTTTAGATGTTCAATAAACACTGAATATGTTTAAATTCGGAAATAAATGAATTTTATTTGTCAGTAGATGCTAACTGCAAAACTGGTTTCATTTTAATGTTACTAAACATTGCTGTACCAAGCAAAAGAAAGTAACTGAGCTAAATATAAGTGAAACACTGCCTCTAACAAGTAGAACTTGGAGGTAAACAAACCAATTAAAAATGATTACTTGTTTCTAAAATAGCAAACTCTGGGGGAGTGAATGGGTAAGAAGCAGATCAATTCTTCTGATGACAAGAAGCAGGGAAAAGAATACAAAGAGGCCCAGCCTCTGACCTCAAGCAGCGACTGCCTTGGTTGTTGTACAACATCATTTCAGTTTGGAAGATGCCCTGAGATTCACTTAGCCATCCCTGTTTTCTCTAACCAGGCACTCAGCCGAGCCAGACCACAGTCTAAAAGGAGCATCTACCACTAGCAGCATTGACTTTAAGACCAAGGATTGGAGAAAAGGATGAATGCTGCTTTTTTCTTTATTCACTGCATCCCAAATAATTCAGCTCTGTTTTAAGAGCCAGGACACTGTGGGTACCTAATCAGCTTGTCTCCATAGGCCCAAGATGTGGCATGAGTGACAGCCAGGTTAGAGAAGGTCTAAAAAGGGTAAGTGATTCAGTAGAAGAGGGAAGAGCCAGATTTGACATTGAGTTTTGACATGGAGAAGGTGACAAAGATACACCAAAAGTGGTCATGCCCAGAAAAGGGTTGGGGTAGGGGTAGAGTTAGCATTAAGCTAACTAACAGGAGCAAAAACTTAAGTGGTCACCTATGATACCCAGGACTTCAGAATTAGAACATAAAAATGGGACTGTATCTGGAACAGGGTGGCATGTGGAATCTCCTTGCAGTTCTCCTGTGGCTCGCCTGCAGTCTCTGGGTAGGAGTCATATATCACCTGGAATATGGCTGAAACTTGTGGTTTCTGAGTCAGAGAGTTTCTCTTTCAGAGCTGAAGTCATTATAAACACACTTATTTTACTAGTATTAAGAATATTTTTGGGAGCAATGGCTCATGCCTATAATTCCAGCTACTTGGGAGACTGAGGCAGGAGTATCCCTTGAGCCCAGGAGTTGGAAGCTGCCGTGAGCTATGATTGTGCCACAGCACAGCAACTCGGGCCACAGAGCAAGACTTCATCTCTTAAAAAACAAATAAACGAACAAACAAAACAAAACAAAAACATCTGTTTTTCAGAAATGTATTAGGGTTATCTCTGACACCAGATGCTACAGTTCAGATATTGTTCCCAAAAGATAGTTAGGTAGCATCAATGTCACAGATTTCAGCATGATATCATGGCCACCACCCAGATTTCATGGCATGTACAAAAGCATACAGCACTTTGCTCCTTACATGAGGTATCCATGATAAGTTCTACAGGCTTTGATATCTCTCCATTCAACTCTTGCTCAGTCTTTACCATTTTCTCCCAACTCTTAAACAATGTCAAGCAAATGTTCCTGTCCTAATACATCAATATAGTCATTTTGTCACTCTTTGCTGCTTCTTTATTTCAGAGGGTGGGGGAAATAGGGAAATGAGATTTACATTTTGGCCACTTTAAGAACCAGGTACTGTCTTACAGGGAGAAAGTTCTCCACAGTAACTAATTATAGCTAAAAGCAAGGTCTGAATGCTTTTCCAAAAGCCTTCAGAGAGATTTTATTAAACAATGGATTTTTGTTTCATTTTACAGCCTAAAAGCTATCTAATGCATCAACAGAGAAAAGGGCCCATTCATCTCCTCTCTGCCCTAGAGACCACAGAACCATTGAGTTTCCAGATTATAGCTGCATTTTAGTAGTTAAAGAGTAGACAGCCTGAGTTGTCAGCCCAAAGTTCCAGGTAGGGTTCATGAATCAATGGAGAATATACTTCATTCAGAAACGAAGACAGTTGAATTGTAACTTCTACTTCTAAACGAAAAAGTTATTTAGCTTCAGCTCAAGACTTTGTGTGACTAAAGTATTTGCCTAAAGATGCATTCAAGCTTGGTTTGCCACTCAGTCTAGAGTACAGCTTCCCTCTTGTCCTTATAATTCACGATTTTCTGGTAAAAACTGAGAACTTTTGGGGAAAGTAATTGTAATGGTTCCTCTTCTGGTCCCAAGAGGAGTTAATTCTCCTTGATTGGTCCTGACAACAACTTCCAGCTCCCCTCTGGCTCCTCAGACACTCACAGCTATCCTACAACCAATTAATTCATCCTAGAAACAGAGCAGCAATGTTTATTCAGAACTCAAGGAGGAACTCTAAATTCTGGGTCTGTAAAAACAGCCAGAAAAGAGTCTTCTCATCAAATCTGATTTCCTCTGGGTTATGGAAAAAGGGCACACGAGAAACATTTACTCTAAAAGTTGAAATGTTTCACAACAACCATTGCTTTGATTATGACACACAAGATTATAGTAGTCCCCCTTATCCTTGGAGAATTTCTTCCAAGACCTCCATGATTTCGATGCCTGAAATCCTGGATAGTATACTGAACTGTCTATATATGTACTATGTTTTTTTGATCTGATAATCGAGGTGGCTACTAAGTGCCCTCAGCTTGGATATGCTGGATAAAATGATGATTCACATACCAAGGGGAACTGGAGCAGGATGGTTCAAGAATTCATCATGCTGCTCAAAATGATATGCAATTTAAATTTATGAATTGTATATTTCTGGAATTTTCCATTTTATATTTTCAGACTACAGTTGACCATAAGTAACTGACACAGTGGATACAGCAATACCTTGGATAAGAGGGAACTATTTTACTTTAAATATTCATTGTTATAGATACTATCTGGTTTGTAAGTTAAGCCAAAGTTCATTTCATAGTACTTTTGATTTCTCATTCATTAAGTTAAAGTGGTCAATTTATATCATTGTTCTACATTTTCCATTCTTACAAAGATTGTACGAAATATCTTTCAAAAGGTCCCTAGTAAGATCTTAACTAAATAATTGGAACTTCGCTTGAATCTATGTATTCTTGTTCTATCAAATATCTGTCTAGAACATTTCTGGGTTATAATGTTAGTTTTGGAGAGATAAATCAATAATCTCTAGGACCCTGATGAATAAAGATGACCCTCGATTTACCTAAACCTCTCCTATAAGGCAGGAGTCTATTTTCAAATTTTAAAAAAAGGCATTTACCTGTTCTTTTCCATCCTCACCCAAGATTGAACTTCATTCTCTAAAGGTAAAATCTTGAAAATGCATTCCTACCTCTGGCAGGTCTGCAGCAAGGATACCCAAGATGGAGCCAAAAGTTTTCAAAGAAAAGGCAAGACTGAGAGACTCCTATCATCAGAGCTGCCAACAGTAGAAGTTCCATATTTGGAGAAAATGCACTTAATAAACTTTGCTCTATGCCAAGAACACTTGAATCTTTAGAAATATTACTTTCTGGCAAACAAATGGATCACAGGACTAAAGATTACTGTTACAGTCTTGCATTTTAGAAGGGAGTCAATAGTGCCTTAAAAGCAGGTTACAAAATCATTAGATTCAATAACTTCACAGCACATAATTTGAATGACTGTTGCAAAGTTTCACTTATATCAGCATTTCTACATTTTATATCTTATTGGTAAAATTTTCTATTTTTTTTAGAAAAAGTAGTGTTTTTTCTTTTCTTTTTTTTTTTTTTAGAGATATAATAACCCATGAAATCTTGGTAAACATCTTAAGCAGACACATTGATTGTTTAAAACTGCATGTCACTTATAAAAAGGAAGGAAAATTCAACAAAATACATATTACTTTCCTGAAAGAGTGCCTCTAAAAGCTTGATTCATGTTCATAGTGAAATCTTCTTCACAGTCTGAATCAACACAGCAAACAACAAACTGTTAAAAGCAAAGTTTGAAACCTCTGAAAGCCTTCAGGAGACAAGGTCTCAGTATTTTGTCCAGGCTACCCTCCAGCTCCAAGGGCTCAGAAATCCTCCCACCTCAGTCTACCAAAGTGCTGGGATTATGGGTATGAGTCACCAACCCAGGATAGTATTAGATGTTACAAGTATTCAAAAGAAAAAGAAATGACTGACATAATAAAAAAGAGGTAAAACTATTATTTTTGCTAATGACATGATTATATGTCTAGAAAATTCTATAATGGAAAAAACCTTTCATTTATCATAGTATAAGTAAATTTTAAAATAAAATAAAGTTCTACATGAAAAAAACTATAAATTATTTTAAAAATTCAATGCAACATCAAAACAAATGAAAAAGCATATGACAAAAAGTAAATAAGTCATGTAACAATTTGGGATGAGAAGACATAATATAAAAATAACAGTGCTCTCAAAATTGATATATAAATTTAAGATAATTCTAATTAGAATTCCAACTGAGATTCTGGGAATTGAATAACTGATTTTAAAGTTTACATGGACAAACAAATGCTAGACAATAGATAAGAAAAGTAGGAAAAAAAGAAAGTGAGAGCATGACTTGCCTTTCAAGATAGGCTGTCTTACTAGAAAAGCATAGCATCAAACCACTGTAATAGAAATAGAAAACATGGACCAGTGGTTAAAGGGTACGTAGTATTTAATAACAGGTGGCACAACTGATTCTTCATCTGGAAGAAAATAAAATGGTAGTGCAACATTTGGTTTCATAAAATACATTTCAAATGGATTGAAGACAAATTTATTTTTTAAACTTTCAAGAGACTACATGTACAATCTAGAAATGGGAAAATTTTTAAATCAAGACTAGAAACCTAGATGTTACAAACAAAATTTAAAACTTTTTGATGTAAACGATATGACAAAAAGAAAGTCATAAAACTGGAAACATTTGAAACACAAATGATAGAAAAATATAATGTCTATAATATTCAATGAGCCCTTACAAATTGACATAAAGCATAGAAATATTCAATAAAAGGGGCAACATATATAAATTTACAATTCATAAGAATAAACCTAAGTAGGTGGCGAACAAATGGAAAATGTTCAAATATGCTATTAATCAAGGACATATAAACTTGAAATAAGATGTTATGTTACCCATCAGACTAGCAATGACAGGAATGAATGAGAGAAAAGTACTTGCATACATCGTTGGTAGAAACGTGAAATGTTACAGAATTATTGAAAGGCAATCTTGCAATTTCAATTCAAATTTAAAATACATATATCTTTAACTCTGCAATATCACTACTAAAAACCAGAAAGAAAAGTTTCAGTAAATAGGGACACACTTCAGCCTTGCTCATGATGGCAAAGATCTGAAAACATTATTAGTTATATGCCCAGTTACAGATGAATGGCTGAATAAATTAAGGTAGTTCATACTATGGGATATTATGTTGCCTTTAAAAGGAGTCATTAAATGATATATTAGGCGATTTGAAGGGATTTTTCACAGATATTGCTACATAAGAAAAATCAGAAAAAGAGAAGTGTATGAAATATAATCCCATATTGAAACAACAATGACTCACTTTACAGATATAGGCACATGTACATTTTTGCGTGCGTGTGTGTGTGTGTGTGTGTGTGTGTGTGTGTGTGTGTGTGTCTACAAGCAGGACTTCAGAATCAGGAGATAAATATGGAATATTGGACTAAATATACTGGGTTGTTAGGGGAACAGAAAGAGAGAAGATGTAAATGGATGGGGGTAAGATAAAGAAGAGAGAGGTGAACAATAAAGAAGCTTAAAAAAACTGCACTAGAAACTAAGCTGATGATTCTCAAATTCATACACAAAGTCAAGGGACCCAGAAAAGCCCCCCTGCCACCAAAATCTACAAAATAAAGAACAAAGTTGGAGCACTCCCACGCCCCAACTTCAAAACTTATTACAAAACTACAGTAATCAAGTGTGGTACTGATATAAGAAAAGACATATAAATCAATGGAATAGAATTAAGAGTCCAGGAATAAACCTATACATTTGTAGCCAACTGATTTTTTTGACCAAGATGCCAAGAACATTCAAAGGAGAAAGAATAGTCTTTTCAACGAACAGTGATAATTCATGGAATATCCACAAGCAAAAGGAAGACGCTGTTCCTTCATACCATACACAAAAATTAACTCAAAATGGAACAATGACCTAAATGTAAGAGCTAAAACTATACAACTCTTAGAGGAAAGTTGAGGCATAAATCTTTGTGACTTTGGATTAGGCAATGGCTTCTTATATGATACTAAAATCATAAGCAACAAAAAATAGATTAAGTGGATATCATAACATTTTAAAGCCTTTGTCCTTCAAAAAACACTATCAAGAAAGTGAAAAGACAATAAGCAGGAGAAAGTTCTTGTAAATCATATCTGATAAGGGGTTGGTATCTAGAATATAAACATTCTTACAACTCAGTAATAAAGGATAAATAACCCAATTAAAAAATAGGTAATGGATTCAAACAGACATATCTCTAGAGAAGATATACAAGTGACCAATAAGCACATGGAAAGAAGTCTGGCATGATAAGCCATTAGGAAGAGTCAAACCAAAGTCATTATGAGATACAATTTCATATTGTAGACTAGAATGATTATAATAAAAAAGATAAATAACAATAAGTGTTGATAAAAATATGGAGAAATTGGCACTTTCATACAGTGCTGGTGGGACGGTAAAATGGTGCAACCACTTTGGAAAACTGTCTAGCAGTTCATAAAAAAAATTAAACACAGTTACTCTGTGATCCAGCAATTCTACAATTTTGGTATACACCAAAGAGAAATGAAAACTTATGTCCACACAAAAACTTGTACACTACTATCCACAGCAGCATTATTTATAGCAGTCCAAAAGTAGAAACAACCCAAATGTCCATCAAATGATGAATCAATAAATAGCATGAGGTATATTCATAAAATAGAATATTATTCAACGATGAAAAATGAAGTACTGATATATGCTACAAAGTAGATGAACCTTGAAAACATTATGCTAAGTGAGAGAAGTAAGTCACAAAGGACCACATATTACATGATACTATTTATATGAAATGAGCATGCAAATTTGTGTATTTAGTAAAATTTTATATATATGTGGGAGATATAAGTATGAGTAAAATAAAAGATTAAGAGCAAGGCCAAATCAGTTATATCTCAAGGCTACCATTTCTTTATCTGTTAAGTAAATATTATACTTCTGGTTATTTCATAAAGTCATTTCAATTCATGTAAAGCACTTAGCCTGGCATATATTAATCACTTGATAAGTGCTTTTACATTGATGACAATAAAAAGTTATTTTCTAAAGAGGTTCAAATGTCTTTCATACTTACCTCCATTGTAAAACCTATGACTTTGAAACATTGTTCAATTAATTCATATTGGGATTTATAGAAACTATTATTCATCATGTCCTGCACTGTTCTGAGGTGGTCATTTTGCAGGTACCTGAAAAAAAATATAAATGGAAGGATAAATGTCTAAAATTAAGCAGAAAGTGAAAGTATTATTTATGAAAGTACAACCTGGTAGATTACCTGGGAGGCTTATTTTCAGGCAATTTGTAATGGGCTAGTTTCTTCTTTTCAGCTAAACCAGCATAGATGTAGTAAAAAATATGAAAATTTTTTTCTCCACTGAAAAATAAAACATTTTCAGTAAGGTGTTTAGTAAGAATATTTATTGTTAAAATTACTTGACAGCATAATTATTATAACAACAACTCTGAGTGCCAGTGTGGCTTCACTGAATACTGCGTTTTGGCTTTCTATGGTTGTTACTATTATCATTACTTTCAACAACCACTGTCATTAAATTCCAGACACCATTAAAATCACTTCATATGAATCATTAAACATATACTTCCAGGCATTGTTCCAAGCACTGGTGATATAACAGGAGCAAAACAGTCACAAATCCCTAACTTCTGAGAGTTTACATGCCAGTGAAGCAGACAGAAAAATAAATAAATAATACATACAGCATGCTAGATGGTGATAAGTGCTATATTATCTCATACCTTCCACACCCTGCTGAGGTAGGCATGGGTTCCTCATTTTATGTACAAGGAAACTGAGGTTTCGAGCTATCAATCTTTCCTAAAGTGACAGAGTTGACGACTATACTGGATTCAGACTAGTTCTATTTGAGTCCAGGGTTCACATCTTTAACAACCCTTTTACATTCTTTCCAAGGCTCAGTTTTCTCACTTGTATGAGGAATCTTTTTCTTATAAGCCTCAAATTCTATGACCCTGTGGTTATAAGTAGTATAAACAGCACTTCCCAGACTCTGGAATAATACCATTAAGAGTATGGATCAAAACAAGGTAGGTCTCCAGTTCAGGATAATCCACAACATACTTGCTGGGACCTCGGGGTACCCCCCTTTTCACTCCCCCACATCTTCCTTTTGCTCTAGTGGGCTCTTAAGAAAAATCTCACTTTCAGGTTCTCTTCTGAAACAGCGGAGGATGATCCTCCTGCTTTGCCGTTCCCAGTCTCCACCGACCCTTCTCGGCCCTGCTTAATTTCCACTCTTGATGATCCTGGTGGCCATTTGGGAGACCTGAGGGATTTGCATCTCTGTGGCATTCCCTTTTTCATACTCCAACTGGACCCTCCTCTTGTTTTAGGGTGATCCAAAACCCTTGTTTGTTCACTCTATCATCACAAGGCTCATGGGCTGGGGTTGAGGCAGGGAGGATTCTTACAGGGGTTAAATTAATGCTTCAAACCCAAAGGCCTTGCTGTCTTCCCTTGTTTCTACTATTACTTCTCTCTCAGCTAGTATAAAACTAACTGAAAACACTCTACAAAGCTGAGGGTGTTAACACAGGAGTTGGGTCAGGAGATACTAAATTGCTGCTGAGGATGCTCCCCTCCCCGCTACCCTTGGTGGTGGACTGAGCTATGTTCCAGGTCCCCACTTGTCACGCCCCACACAGAAACCCAGAGCAGCTAGTCTCCCCTCTCACCCTGCTCCTTTCCCTCACTGCCTCTACAGCCTATTTTAGCAAATTTAGGAGGCCAATGAAATGTTTTCAGAAAAAAAACTATTATTATTATCAAAGCTGTTTTGTGGTCTTGATTTACATTTCTCTGATGATTAGTGAGGCTGAACATTTTTTCATGTGTCTGTTGGCTGCTTGTATGTCTTCTTTTGAGAAGTGCCTATTCATGTCTTTTGCTCATTTTTTTTCATTGGAGTCTCACTCTGTCACCCAGGCTGGAGTGCAATGGCACACTCACAGCTACTCCAGTGTTGACCTGCTGGGTTCTGGCAATCCTGCATCAGCCTTCCAAGTAGCCAGAACTACAGGTGCGTGCTACCATGCCCAGCTAATTTTCTATTTATTGTAGAGATGAGGTCTTGGCTGGTTGCCTGGGCTGGTCTCGAACCCATGGGCTCAGGCAATCCACTTGCCTCGGCCTCCCAAAGTGCTGTGATTACAGGCTGAGCCACCAAGCCTGGCTTTTTGTTTATTTTTTAATGGGGCTGTTTGTTTTTTTCCTTTTGGCACATTTGAGCTCCAGGTAGATCCTAGATGTTAGAACTTTTTTCAGATATGCAGTTGGCAAATATTTTTTCCCATTCTGTGGGCTGTCATCTGGCTCTCGTGATGATTTCTTTTGCTGTGCAGAAGCTCTTCAGTTTGATAAGGTCTCACTTATCTATCTTATCTCTTATGACATTGGCTTTCGATCAGGAACTAGTTGCCTATTTCAATTGCATCTCCTGTGTGTGTGTGTGTGTGTTTTAATTTTAAAGATGTAGGATACAATTCAGGGTTAGGTATACAAATGGTCATTATACAAGTAAAGTTTGGGCCTCCCTTTGGTCCCTACTTTGCCTGATTTGAGATCAGGTACCCTTATTGATGTAGTGTGCTCACTCCCTCACTTCCCTGGCAGTTTCCCACTACTGCCAATCCCTTTCTTATAGTATTATGACAATTGTTCAGAGTCCACTTATGAGTGGGAACATGTGGTACTCAGTTCTTTGTTTTGGTGATAGATTACTGAGTATTATAAAGTCTAAGTCCATCGAAGGTGCTGAAAAGTTCACAATTTTGTCCTTCTTTATGGCTGCATAGTAATAGTCCATCATGTATATGTACCACATTTTTTTATCCCGTCCAGTTTCAATGGGCAGCACGGTTGGTTCCATGTTTTTGTTATTGTAAATAATGCTGGAATATACATGCATATGCAGATATCTTTTTTGTAGAATATTTCGAGTTCTTCCGGGTATATTTCCAGATGGGGGATTGCTGGGTCGTATGAAAAGTTGATTTTCAGATTTTTTAGGAATTGCCATACTGTTTTCCACAGAGGTTGTACTAGTTTACACTCCCACCAACAATGAGATTCTTAAAGTTTGAGGTTTTGTGTTTAGATCTTTGATCCATTTGGAATTGATTTTTGTGTATGGTGATAGGTAAGTGTCCTGTTTCAATCTTCTGCATGTGGTCAGCCAGTTTTTCCAGCACCATTTATTGAATAAGTTCTCCTCTCCCCAGTGGTTGTTGGTGGAGGTTTTGTTGAAGATGAGTTGGTTGAGAAATTGAGGTTTTGCTTCCAGAATCTCTATCCTGTTCCACTGGTCTATATGCCTGTTATTGTACCAAAGCCATGGTGTTTTGATTATTGTAGCCTTATAATAAAAGATTTGAAGTCTGGAAGTTTGATACCTCACACTTTGTTTCCTGAGATACCACCTAACTCCAGTAAGAATGGCCATCATTAATAAAACAAAAAACAACAGATGCTGGCGAGGTTGTGATGAAAAGGAAACGCTTCTACACTGTTGGTGGAAATGCAAACTAGTTGAACCTCTATGAAAAACAGTGTGGTAATTCCTAAAAGAACTAGAAATAGACCTACCATATGACCCAGCAATCCTCCTTCTGGAAATATACCCAGAGGAACTAAATCACCCTACACAAAAGATACCTGCACGTGCATGTTTATTGCAGTGCTATTCACAATAGCAAAAACTTGGAACCAACCATGCTGCCCACTGAAACTGGACTGGATTAAAAAAATGTAATACATATACATGATGAAATATTATGAAACCCTAAAGAAGGACAAAATTATGGACTTTGCAGCAACTTGGATGGACTTAGAGCCTATCATACTCAGTGAGCTCACAGAAACAAAGAATTGAGTATCACATGCTCTCACTTATAAGTGGACCATGAACATTTACCATTATACTACATGAAAGGAATTGGCAGTATCCAGAAATTGCTGATGGGGGCACATAACTTCAAAAAGAGTACTTGATCTCAAACCAGGCAAAGTGGGGACCAAAAGGAGGCCCAAACTTTACCTGTACAATATCCACTTGTATTGTATAGTAATTCTGAATTGTATCCCGCATCTTTACAATTAAAAAAAAAACCAGTTTTTTTTAAGCTCAGGAATGTTTTCCACTGAAGTATATAAACAGAAAAAACCCACTTTATGACATGCATAATTTTATACAAGTCATTTCACTTAAAAGGTAAGAAAGGATTTTAAAACTCTCCTAGGTTTTCTACTCTTGCATATTATGCAGTTTAATCTCAGTTGAGATGGAAATTTTACCTTTGCTCTCTTCATAAGTTATCTATTCTTTCAGAACATATGTGTTTGGCTCAGAATCAATGGTAGCTCAGATATATCTATATATATTTACTTTTCCATTAATGCAGTAAAAGATGTTTGGAATTTTAGAACTTCTGTGGCCTTATCTCATAACCTCTATTTTTGGTTCAAGGTTCTGCCAAAAACCATTATAAGAGCAATTTTTATATTAAGGGCTCCAACACACAATTCATTTAGGCTTAAAATAATGTGGTTAAGGGTTTGATATTTGTGTCACACCAATAACTATTCAAGATGCTCCATTTGGCCTTTCCTGAGAGTTAGTAGATAAAAACATTTAAAATGAAACAGTAGTACTTTAAAAAGTAAATAATGCAAATCCCTGTTCTTCCTTGTTAGTGTTTTGAAAGGAAGGAAGACATTTTCTAGAGAAAAGTAACAGTGCTATTGATTAGTATGCATTCTGGGTTGAGACTCTTCCCTGAGTCTGAGAGGGCATAATATCACCAAGCCTTGGAGGAGAGTTCAAATAATGAGGCGATCTAAATATTTCAAATATCTGGGCCTCAGGGGAATAAGATCTTGATGTAAAATAGCAGCAGAAGAAGAGAAAGCAGAAGAGAGGTGAAAATGTGATTAGAGAGATGAACTCAATACATCTTCACAAATATTTAGACATGAAAAGCGAGGAGAGTCGGAGGTTTTATACAACTAAAGGAGGATAGTTCCATTCCAAAAGAAGGGACTATAAGAAAATAAACAGGTCTGAGATATGTTTTCAGTTGAATTTGAGATAGCAGGAGGATATATATGTAGTTGGAAATAAAACATGTGAACCTAGGAAAGAGCAAGAGGTAAGTCTTTGGCTGTCAATCATATAGAGCTATCTGTTGAGGCTATGATGTCAGAAGAAATTGTGAAGTGAGAGAGTGCAGAGAGAAAAGAAAAAAGCTTCAACACATATTTTGGAAATAGATAAATAAGTTTAAGCAATAGAAGAAAAATTCAGAAAGTAGAAGAATCAGGAGACCCTAGTAATGGAACAGAGAAAGGTGAGGGTTTCAAGAAAAGGGGCTGTCCACAGGCTGGATGCTGGTGAGTACTGGCACATCTTTTCTTCTGAACTGATCACATTTACATCTTCCACACCCCTGTCTGTTTTTTGTGGCAGTCACCAGCAATACTGCCAAAAACACTAACAGTGTACATGAGCAAGGTTACAACAAAACTGAAAGTTTAGTTTAGTTCTTGTCTTTTCTCAACACAATATAATGAAAACTTCTCCATGACTGGCACAGCAAATAATTTAGTTTGCTTTGTTCTAATGAAATCACACTGATTGCCTCATGTGTCACATCTTAAATGCTTAAATGATGCAATGTACAATTAGTGAAGTGACTCACAAATGTAGGCACACAAAATTAGTGGATTTCTCTTTAATTATCAGTGTATATTTACTGAGAATTGTAATTTGACAAGGGAGATATTATGGGAAATATACTGACCTTCAGTGGATAAACAATCAGAAAGTTAAAGAAACAGGAAAAGAACACATCTCCAAGATTACCCAACTCATGTCCTGCCCCTAATTACATCAAAGCTATACAAGAAGACAGTACTACAGCATCCCACACTTGCCAATGTGACCAGTAGTTCCCAGGTCAGGATGGCCTGGGGCCAGACATAGGGTCTCAGCAAGTTAACTAGTAGTATTTCTCTAACTCGGCCCCCCTCCTATTTGTAGATCCTCTAATACGTCTTCAGAGAGAATTTCATCCAGCCACATGCAGGCAGGCCATTAGGGCTAACTCATGTGGACCCTCATTCCTTGGACTCTGGAGATCACTTATGTAGCCAAGGCCTTTAACAACTTCAAAACTGTAGCAAAATCCTCACAAGGGCATGGCTTAACTCATCTGTAAAACCTTTAAATCTTCGACAAAATGGCCAACAATAAGACATGGAAAGCTAATAATGAAGTTTTGCATTCCTAAAGCCTCATGGAGTAGTCATAAAGCAGTGCTTTCAGTCTCTCTCTCTCATCTCATTCAGCAGTGGTGCAATCATAGCTTACCATAGCCTCAAACTCCTGAGATCAGGTTCAGGCAATCCTCTTGTTTAAGCCTCCCAAGTAACTGGAACTACAGATGTGTACCACCTTGTCCAACTAATATTTTTAGTTTTTTAAGAAAGGGGGTGGTCTCAAGTTCCTGGGCTCAAGCCATCCTCCTATCTCAACCTCCCAAAGTGCTGGCATTACAGACTTGAGTCATCGTGCCCGGACTAGTATTTTATTTTTAATTACAGCTGCCCCCTCTTACACTGCCTCCTCCTGGCTATGCAGTCTCCTCAATCTCTTCTTGCCATTTACCTACTCACTCAATGCAGATGAACTCATTTCCTACTTTCCTGAGATACAAGAAATCAATAAGTGATCAGCAAGTTTTGTGTCAAGGTATATGGAGCTCTCCAGGAGACTTTGAGCTGCTTTACCACAGGAATCCTGTCTTATTCAGCTTTGTATCTCCTGTGCTTAGCACACAGAAGGCACTTAATAAATATTTGTCAAAAGGATGAATGGATGAGTGAATGAATGAATGGTGGGCTTTGGAATAAGACAGACAAGGGTTCAAACTCTTAGGTATTTATTAGCTTTTTGAAATTAGGCAGCTTACAACAATTCTCTTACTAAAAATTCTCTTTGTCCCAGTTTCCTCATGTATAAAAAGACAATAATATCTTGTCAACTGACTGCAAGAATTAAAAGAGATAAAGGCTGTAAGGTGCATAGCACAGTGTCTAACATAGAATAATTGCTCCATAAATATATTTCCCTTCTTCCACAGTAGAGTACCTTGTCTGCCATTTGTTTATGTCTCCTGAGTTCTGAGCACATGAGAGAAATGCAATCAATGCTTGCTGAACTAAACTGTAGTAATAGAAAACAGTGCCACAGAAACAGTCATCATTTATACTGGTGAGAATTATCTAGCACAACCTTCAATGTGCTCATTTTCTTCTTGAAATTAAGCAGACTCTGAAAATCTTCTTCTTTAAATCTTCTATGTTGGAATATTACACAGCTATAAAGAAGGACAAAATATGGATTTCACAGCAACTTGGATGGATTTAGAGTTCATCATATTCAGTGATCTATCAGAGAAACAAAGAAGTGAGTACCACATGTTTTCACTCAGAATTGGGCCCTGAACATTTATCATAATACTACATGAAAGGCATTGGCAGTAATAGGTCACTGCCAGGGGTGGGAGGCGGGGAGGCACATAACACTAATAGAGTATCTGATCCCAAACCAGGCGAAGTGAGGACCAATGGGAGGCCCAAACTTCACCTGTACAATGACCACTTATGTTTCAAACCCTGAATTGTACCCTACATTAAAAAAAAAAACCATAAGCATCTTCATTTAGACAAGGTTTTAAGTCACAAGTTAAAAGATAGTACCATCATTAAAAAGATAATCTCAAAATGAATGTGGTCAGAGTCTGGGATAGGATAGCATGGAATAGGAGAAAAGAGAAGAAAATAACTAATTCTCTTAAAATAAAATGTTAAGTTCACTTTTAAAAACACTTGTCTGCCATGCCTCTTACTGCCTCTCAGCTCTGCTCTCTACTCATCTGTGCCTGCCATGCTCTGTGACCTGAAGGCCAACCTCTACAGACTGTAATCTCTGGGCTTCCTTGCTCTCTGGCTTCCTTTGTGGTTTAGACAATAGCAAGCACAGGTAGGAGACTGGTAGGAGGGAGAAGGATTGGTGGGTATATTTATCCCCTTGCACTCTCCTTGAGCAGTTGCAGTGTACCAGGCCCTGGAGTCCTGCCTCTCTCTCTGCCTGCAGACCTGAAGGCAGCCATGTCTCCTCACCCTTGTCAGTCCATGGGCATTTCACCATTCATTCTTGGTTCTTCGATGCCCATTCAATCTCTGTAAATAGTTTTCTCAGTTAAACTCATGCTCCTTCCTTTAAGGACCATAATTGATAGAGTATATTTAAATTTATAATGTAAAATATATACCTACTAAGGATTCTTCTATCACATGCCTGATATTTTCATATTCATAGATCACAAAAGCTCTTCTAGAACTTAAAAATGCAATTCAAATTAAGTAAAAGAAAAAAGAGATATAAAAATGGAAAAAAGCTTCATTATAAATTGTAATGCAGCTGTGCTCAAGTTATATTTCCACCTGATTGTGAATTTTGAACTTGAAATGCTTTTCCCCAATAAACAGTGTTATAAAACTAGAATAGTTCGGTAGGCCAATTGGGAATAAAAGTTTATTTAATTCATAGCATGCCTTAAATATAATCCTAATTGTTCTATTTATTGGACTACATCCTGCAATATTTCAATAAACATTAACAAGATTATTTCTATGGTTAAAAACCCTGGGCTTCACTGTGCAGCTCCAGAGGGGGCTGTTCACATGGCATTCCTATGTGAATGGTGTTCCTTCCATATCTCCATAGAATACACTGTGAATGTTACCCCTTAACACTGTAAGAAATGGTGGCCCCATTAAACATTAGTATGGTACACTTAAGAAGTTCTTTCCCAAAGCCCTGAAGGAGAAGCTTACACAATTATGAGAGCAAGACAAATAGATTGAGAACCAGTTAAGTCTTCACATCAGCTAAAACCTGAAAGCCCTTCTAGGTATGAGTGAGCACTGGAAACACATCAATACATAGTAGCTACTATTTATTGAACATCGTCTATGTCCCAGATGTTGTGCTAGATGTTGTTTCTAATTTTCCCAACTATTAACACTGTTACTAATACTAATGGCTGAACTTTATGGGGACTTACTATGTGCTGTTCATTGTGCTAAATACTATACAGACATTATCTTGATTGATAGGTAGGTATTAATGCTATTTCCATTTTAGAGATGAAAAACAAGGTGTAGAGAGAGTAAGTAAACTGTTTCAAATCATACACACAATAAGTGGCAAAGCGAAGATCCTGTAAGAGTCTTTAAGCTTAAATATTTTACCCAAGGTAGACTAATGCATTATGGAGCCACAATTAAAAACCACATTAATCTAATAATCATTCCTTACATACTTTAAAATGAATCCCAAGGGTAATACTGTTCCACATTGAAGGTTGTATTCAAGTACTGAACTACAAACAATTTATACTCATGATTTACTCGTGAATTGAATGATAGCACATTTGAAGTCAGCTGTATTAAATAATGATGTACTAATATATAACAAGAGCTTATTATGTTCCTGTGAATTTAATTGATCATATCACTACTATAATGTAGAAGATGTTTAGATAAAATCAACATAATAAAAAGTAAGATTCTAACTTGTCACACTTTTATTTTTAAATAATGCAACCACCAGGAATGTGGAGCTATAGTTTCTTCATAAGAATAACTAAGATGTTTTGGAATCATTAGGAGATAAATTTTGTCATTCAGCTATAAACTCCCAAAAGGAACTCATTCAACCTATTATCAAAACATTATGAATAGTATTGCTGGCTTAAATCAGCTAGCAATAAAATGGGCAATATAATAAAGCCCATTCCTGAATATTTTATTTGATCCCTTCTTTATAAACAGAGGAACAAGAGAAGCAATTGAAAGATCTATCTATATATACCAGTATTTAAAATAAAAAAGACTCAGTTATTTCTAATTAAATTTCACATTAATTTTGTGAGGAGAAATATATTCTCTCCTACTTCAAAACTTGCTCTAATTTTACAGTTAGTACCTCTATGATGAGCTTCTCTCTAGTGGCATAAATTTTAGGTAATTTATTAATTCCTCTACTGGATGTAGCATACATGCAAGTAAGACAGTGCTGAAGCATCTCTTTGTTTCCAACAGTAAGTGCTTTGCATACAGTAGGTGATCAACAAATTTCTGTTGCATGTGAAAGACATTTTTATTATTAAAACAAAAAGCATTGTCTTTGCTTATGTGTCCTCTCAAAATAGGAGATATTTGAGATGAACTTACATAGCTTGATGGATAACTCGGGATTTTTCCAGAAGATATTCAAAAATCTGTGCTCCCACTACAGCTCCAGAAGAGGTAAATTTCATTTCTAAGTATTTTCCAAATCGGCTGGAATTGTCATTTATAATAGTGCAGGCATTTCCAAAGGCTTCTACTAAATTGTTTACTTGTAAAATCTTCTCTTGCAGCGTTCTGTTATTAGCCTAGAGAGAAAATGTCAAGATTTTTTTTTAAATGTAAAAATTAACTTTGTATGTAATAAAATCTCTTTCTCTCCCTCTCCCCTTTTTTAGTTTTGTTTGCTTGGGTTTTTTAGAAACAGGGTCTTGCTCTGTCACCCAGGCTGGAGTTCAGTGCAATCATAGCTCACCGCTGCCTCAAACACCTGGACTTAAGCAATTCTTCTATCTCAGTCTCTTGAGTAGTGGAGACTACAGGTGCACACACCACACCCCACTAAAATGTCTCTTCTTTGGTAAGAATGTTATGTAGACATAAGCATATGAAAGCATGTTTTGGTATATTGCCAGATATTACAACCTGGTCTGTTTTTCCCCTCCCATGTGTATATTTACTCACTTGCTTCCTTAAAAGGGGGCAAAGAGATATTCTATATTTTAAATTCAAATACAGTTATATTCAGTGCCTGCTCTGCAAATACAATTTATAAGCAGTATACACATACTGAGGTACACCTGTCATTTTGTTATTCCTTCTCTACTTGCCTGTGTCTCTCTCCAAATCTTCTCCAAAGGCAGAACCACTTCCCTTGCTTCCAGGGAAGCTGCTAAGAGAGTAATGATAATTCTAAATCTAAGAGAGTAATGATATTTCATGCATTCGGAAGCAGGCGAAAAGGAATAATTGTGAAAAATGAGAACAGCTTGGAAGTATGCAGGGACAGAGTAGAACCACAGTCAAGGCCAGCAGGCCTACATGGCTGTTCCTCCATCTTCTCCTACCCCATGTCTTATGTTCCTCCCCTTAAGCAAGTATTACATTTCATTTTTCTTCTTTACCACTTTTGCTGAAATTCTCCCAAGTAGAAATTTATTTGAGTTAATGGCCAACCACTTTTAGATAAGCATACCCCACTTCCACTCCCTTAGAGGTTTAGTTAGGTATCACTCATTTATAACTTGGCAGAAATTGGCTCAAGTAGATTATTTTCTGTGTAATTCCTTAATACCTCATGGAGATCAGCTGTGTGAAAGGTATAGAAATTTTAAAACTTGAGGGACAGGAACATAGGCTACACTAGAATTTGAGTGGGCTGGAGACAGCATTTGCAGTGAGGCATTGAGGCTGTGTAAGGACTTTGATTATCTTCTAAAAGAGGCAGTAAGGGATGAGAAAAGGAAGTAGTGATTTGGGGACAAACTTGATTCTGTTAAAATGCTTTCAGCTGACCTTGCATCCATAAAAAAGGCAAGATGACATCTTCATCTGCCTATATTAAATAGCAGTGACTTACTAAGTAAGATCTGGAGGAGTGCCTATTCCAAAGGTAAATTCTACCCACCAAATATCTGATTTTTGCATCTGGTAAATATTTTTCAAGGGCATAAGAAAAAACAAGATAAGACCTGATAAGGGTAGGAATCTGAATATATATATATATGTTCACACATATATGAATACACACACACACACACACATATTCACAAACATATTTATCCACATATTCCTCAATTAATATTAAATCACAGTTTTAGATCTAAAATAAGACAAAAAGATTAGATTAACAAATTTGCTGACATCTACAAAACAACATTCACACACTGTTGATCCATTATTGATGAAATCCTCCATGGGTCCACAAATTAAGACAGAATAGCAAAGACTCTTGAGCAAGTTAATTCAGATGTTTAGCTCTTTAGCACCAGGATAGTATGCTGCACTGCTCCCTGACTCTGTGTTACATTTTATTTCACTGTTGCTAAAACTTTTAGAATAGACAAGGAGTAGTGGCTCATACAATCACTACACTGGGAGAGTGAAGTGGGAGAATAACTTGAGCCCAGGAGTTTGAGACCAGCCTGGGGAACATAGAAAGACCGTGAATTTTCAAAAAAATTTTAGAAGTAGCCAGGCATGATGGCACAGGCCTGTAGTCCCAGTGATTCAGGAGGCTGAGGCAAAAAGATTGATTGAGTCCAGTAGTTTAAGCCTGCAGTGAGCTATGATCAAGTCACTGCACTCTAGCCTGTGTATCAGAGTAAGACTCTATCTTTAAACAAATTTATTTTAATTTAGAATAATAGGTATCCTAGGAGTAAGAAAAGAGGAGTTGATGGGCAAGGGGCTGAAGGAGGAATTGAGACGAAAGCCCTGGGATAGCACTGAGGGGTCACAGGTCTAGTGAGTAGAGGTCATACAAATTCACCGAGAAAAGCATATTTTATCCCACACCAATGTATCTGATGGAAAATATTACATCAGTCAATTAATTTTTAACAGGAACATGGAATTCTTCCTATTCATCATTTTGAAAATGAATTAGGAGTGACAATGACAAGATGGCCAACCAGACGCTTCTAGTACTCTGTCCTCCCAACACACACACACACACACACAAATCCAAAACAATGAATAAACAACTATATTCAGACCAAGATAAGTAAAGAAGAGCACCAGGAACAGAAAGATGATAGATAGATAGATAGATAGATAGATAGATAGATAGATAGACAGATAGATAGATAGATATAGAGCAGAAATTCTGTAGATTACAAGAATCTAGGATTGCTGCATAGAGAAGGAAAAGAAACACCTTGCCTCTGCCACCCCATCCTCCCAGTGGGGATAGATTCAGAACAGAAGGGACTCCTCCTGCAGGGAAATGTAAGCAAGAGAACCCCAGCAGACACCTGCATTCTTGGCTGCTAGAGATTCTTACAGTCCTCACAGGGTTTGAGCCCAGCTGAGGGAGCTCTTCAGTACTAAGGCAGCACCCGACTTTCATAGGACCTCTACCCTCCTGTATGTCAAAAGAGTTGCCCCCAAAATACAGCTCAAGCGAGGCAGCACGCTGCCCCCAGTAGCTTCAAGCCTTCAGCACATCTAAGTTGATGCACCTCCTTGCACCACAGTCCAGGGATCCAGATGCTCTGCTGATCCATGTAGCCGTGTTTTCTGGGGCTGAGAAGATATGGTACCTTATGTTCCAGGGAATCAGATCCTTGATTGACTTGTGCCATCCTGCCCACAGGCTGGACAGTCACAACGCCTTACCTTTCTGGAAATGAACTAGCCTGCTGCAGTCTGAGCTGCTGAGACACCCCACCTCTCTGGGGAGTGTAATCATTACTGCACTGCTTTGCACCACTCAGAGCCCAAGCCACAGTGGCATATTTCCATTCCTGGGTAATTGATGCTGCTGCATCTCTCTTCACAGACCCTGGGCTATTTCTGTTCCCCATCATCTCATGGTTCAAAATCACCATTGGATAGTACCTCATGCCCTAGAGCCCAAGCTACTACTGTGCCCTGTTTATCGGGGCCTGAACCTCCAGAATACCTGCTCTTCCCCAACTCCATGCCAGTGCTGTGTCCCATCATCCAGGGTCAGAACCACAGACACATTCAAGCCCCCTGGGCTCAAGCTACTGGGGATGTGCCTCATAGGAATAAACTCTAACTTAGTGGGAGAACTACATCTGCTTGTGCTTTGGAGAGTAAACCTTTGCTTCAAGTATCAGGTGTCATAGTAGTTTCAAAAGACCCTGGGCCCAGGAACCTGGCTCAATAGATGCTTTAAGCACCTGTGCCTTGGATCCCAGTGCTACTGTGTCTGCCTGTGAGTTGCGCCAGATCCAACATCAAGAGAGATCTCCTCAGCTAAGACTCCCAACTGTGAGAAAGACAAGAACAGGAGAATCACTAAAATCTTCCTTAATAACCTATGAAGCCACTGTAACTGTCACTGTCATAAATTCCTGGAGCCTAGACTACTGAGGCAGCCACAGCCATCATTAAATATTGATCACAACTAAAGAAGCTGCATAGAGACCATACCACTGTGCCTACATGGCACCAGAGCCACAACAACCTACCCGATCAGCATCTTTAGCTCGATTTGCAGGTAAAAGTCTTCCCCTATGAAAGTCACTCTGTAAAGTTTGGAAGAGGCGACTGCACCATCAGATGCTAAGACATCAATGCAGGAACATAGAAACATGAAAAAGCAATAAAACACGACATCATCAATGTATCACAATAATTCTCCAGTTACTGACCTAAGATAAACAGAAATTTAAGAATTGCCTGAAAAGAAATTTAAAATAATAATCTTAAGGAAACTCAGCAGATACAAAGACTATAAACAGAAAATTCAATGAAGTCAGAAAAATAATGTGTGATCTAAGTGAGAAATTCAACAAAAAGATAGATATTATAAAAAAGAATAAAATGGAAATTTTAGAGCTTAATAATTCAATCAATGAAATAAAAATATGATTGAGAACCTCCACAGCAGACTAGATCAAACAGAAGAAGGAATCTGAATTTGAAGACAGGTCTTTTGAAAAGACCCAGTGAAAGGAAAAAAATAAAAAGAATGAAAAAGAGTAAAGACAGTCTATACTTAAGGGGCATCATTAAGCCAACACATTTTTGCATTAAAGGGGTTTCACAAGGAAAAGAGACAGTGAAAAGGATAGAAAGCTTATTTAATAAAATAATTTCTGGAAACTTTCAGAATTAAATATTGTTAAAATGGCCATACCACCCAAAGTAATATACAGATTCAATGCAATGTCTACCCAAATTCAAATGGCATTATTCACAGAAAGAGAAAAAACAATCCAAAATGTTTATGAAGCCAAAATGATCCCAAATAGCTAAAATAATTCTGAGACAGAAAAACAAATTTGCAGGCATAAATATTTCCTGACTTAAAATTATATTACATAGGTATAGTAATCAAATAGTATGGCATTGGCATAAAAATAGACACATGGACAAGTGCAATAAACTAGAGTTCAGAAATAAGTTCAAATATATATAGTCAACTTTTTTTTGACAAAGGCACTGAGAGGATACAATGGGGAAAAGACAGGGTTTTTTTTCTTAATAAATGATGCTGAGAAAACTGTAAAAGAATAAAATTAGATTCTTATACCATACACAAAATTCGTATCAAAATGGTTGAAAGACCTAAATATAAGAACAGAAACTATAAACTCCTAGAAGACAACCTAGGGAAAAACCTCCTGAATAATGTTCCTGTCAATGATTTTTTTGGATATCATGCCAAATGTTTAGGAAACAAATGCAAAATAAACAAATAAATAAGACTTCATCAAGCTAAAAGCCTTTTGCAAAGCAAAGAAAACAATCACCAAAATGAAATAGCATCCTACAGATTAGGGAAAAAGTGTTTGCAAATCATATATGTGATAAGGGGTTCATATCCAGAATTTATAAGGAACTTGTATACTAATCTGGGGAGAAATAAACAATCCAATTAAAAATGGGCAAAAGGCCTGAATAAACATTTCTTCAGAGAAGACATAAAAATGGCCAACAACTATATGAATAGATGCCTTAATATCATTAATCATTATGGAAATGTAAATCAAGACTACTGTGAGATACCACCCCACACTCATTAGAATGGCTATTATCAAAAAGCAAAAGATAAATGTTGGAGAGGGTATGGAGAAAACTCTTATACACTGCTGCCAAAAATGTAGGTTGGTATAGCAATTATGAAAAACAGTATGGAGATTTTAAAAAGAAATTTAAAATATAAGTACCATCAATATCTCTTCTGGGCATATACTCAAAGGAAATAAAATCCCTACCTTGTAAAGATATCTGCACTCCCATGTTCATGGCCACATTATTGCAATAACCAAGATATAGAAACAGCCTAAGTGTTTGTCAATGGATGAATGAATAAAGAAACTATGGAACATATACACAATGGAATATTATTCAACTAAAATAAGAATGAGATCTTGCTATTTGTCAAAACATGAATGAGCCTGAAGGACACTATGCTAAGCAAAATAAACCTGACACAGAAAGAAAAATATTGCATGATTTTACTTATATGTTGAATGTTTTAAAAAATTTCAATATGTAGATGTACAGAACAAAACAGTGGCTACCAGGAGTGAGGTGAAGATGAAGGGGAGGAAATGGGAAGATGTAGGGCAAAGGATACAAAGTAGTAGATACATAAGATGAGCAGCATGAGAATGTGGCTCATAAAATTGTATTGTTTATGAGATTCATATTAAATGAGTAGATTTTAGCTATTCTTACCAGAAAAAAAAACAAAAAAGGATAACTACATGAGATGATGAATACATTAATTTGTTTCACTACAGTAATCATTTTGCTACCTATATATATTTCATAACATTATATTATATACTTTATATATACACAATAAAACTTATTTTAAAAAAGAAAAACTAATAAATTATATACAGCTTCTACAATAAAAAGTGTAGCACTGGTGCATGAATAGATAGGTCAATGGAATGGAATAAAAAATCAGAAGCAGACCCAACTGCATAAGGATACTTAGTAAATCATAAAGGTGGCAGCTCAAGTTTATGGAATAAAATGGACTTTTTAATAAGTGGTGTTGGAATAACTGAATAGCTATATGACAAAAAGACAAAATTATATCCATTTATGACACTATAAGTCAGAATAAATTCCAAATGCATTAAAAAGTGAACTTGATTAAATTAAGCGTTTGTTTTGAACTATGTGACCTTACTCTTAAGTAGAGAGATTAGATGTGATCTCGAACCCACTGGTACTTTATAACACAAGATTCCTACAATCACAGTGTTGGCAAAAATTCTAACACGATTAATTATAACTATGTAGATCATGATAAAACTTTTTACAGGGGTAAATTTTGTACAATCATTTTTTTTCCTTTTTTTTTTGGCCATTAGTCTAATGAGAAAAACTAATTCTTGTCTTACTCTATTTGAAGGACTCTACCAGGAAAGTCAAAGTCTCTATCTTAAACTTCTCTTGAAAAAAAAAAAAAAAAATTCCAGGAGGAGTGGGGACCAAAGTCGAATCCAAACTTTACCTGTACAATGACCATTTGTATACATAATCCTGAATTGTTCCCCACATCTTTCAATTAAATAAATATTTAAAAATGTTTTTAATTAAATAAATAAATTTAAGGTTTACATTGTATACAGTAAGATTCTCTTTTTATACTACACAGCTCTGAGAGCTTTTACAAACATATACAATCATGTAACCCTCACTACAGTCTACATATAGAATAATTGCTTCGCCATCCCAAATTGTCCTGTGATCTTTTGTAGTAATCCCCACCTTCTACCTCCAGCTCCTGATGATTACTGACCTGTTTCTGTCCTTATTGTTTTAAATTTGCAAGAATGACAATGCCAATTGAATACAGTAAGTTGTCTTTTGATTTTGGCTTCTTTGACTTAGCATATACATTTGAGATTCGTCCAAATATCACTGCTTGTATCAGTGTTTTTTTTTCTTCTTATTGTTGAGCAATACTCCACTATATAGATGTCTTATAGTTTGTTTATCCATTACCTAGTTTGGTTGTTTCTACTTTTTGGAATTTACAAATAAATTTTCTACAAATATTTGTCTACAGGTTTTTGTATAAGCATGGGTCTTCATTTCCTCTGGATATGGATGTAGAAGAACTACTGGGTTACATGGCAAGTGTAGTATATGGGAAACATCCAAACTGTTTTCCAAAGTGGCTGTACCACTTTGCATTTTCATCAGCAATATATGAGCATTCCAGTTGTTCCACATCCCTGTCAGCACTTGATACTGTCAGATTTTTAAAAAATCTTAGCCATTTTAATAGGTGTATAATGGTGACTGTGGCTTTAATTTGCATTTTCCAAATGGCTATCAACATTGAACAATTTTCGTTTAATTGTTATCTACATATCAGCTTTGGTGAAGTGATTCTTCACCAAATATCTACTATGTCTAATGAGAAAAACTAATTCTCTTCTTACTCTATTGTCGTTTGTTTAACTGCTATCTACATATCAGCTTTAGTGAAGTCATTCTTCAAATCTTGTCTATTTTATAATTGTCATTTGATTTATCATTGAGTTTTAACGTTGTTTTTTGCATATCCTAGATACAAGTCTAGTTATGCTGTGTATTTAGTTATGCTACTTATTATGTCATATGTAAGAACTCTTCATCTAACTCAAAATCACACACACAAAAAACTTTTTATGCTTTCTTCTAGAAGATTTATAGTTTTTGTTTAAAGTATTAGACCTATGACCCATTTTGTGTTAATTTTTAATAGTTTGTGAGTCTAAATTGAAGTTTATTTTTTGTATGAGCATATCCAATTATTCCAACACCATTTATTAAAAAAACTATCTTTTTTCATTAACTAACTTTGCACCTTTGTAAAAAACCAATAAACTATATATGTGTAGGCTCCCTATTCTGTTCCATTGATCTATGTGTAGCCTTTTCTTTAATAACACATTATCTTAGCTGGGCTCCGTGGCTCAGCCTGTAATCCCGCGCCTTTGGGAGGCTGAGGTGAGT